CAAACAGCCTTGTTTGCTTAAGCACTGTGTGTTTTGACACAGCAATGCTCAGCACCTCAGCACAGCAAACCCAGCAGGCTGGAAAAATTGAGGAGCTTACACCATTGTTGTCCTCTATAAAAATACCAAATCCACACAGACTAGTAGAAATTATTATTAAGGTTTTTTCATCCCTCAGTGTATGAAAAGCATATAAACTAATGAGTGAGGAAATTACCTAACTAGGTAATTTCCTAACTTTTTTCTTTGCTTTGAAATAAAAGCTGCCCAGTGGAGTCACTTGCCTTGCAGGCAGGTAACACGCAGCCTTTCAAACCACAGAGGTCCAGGAAGCAAAGTTATCCCCTCCTAATAGTTCTGATTTTCATTTCCCTGTCAAACACTCTGAAAGGATGGGTGAACCTGCCAGCATGCCTGAGAGCTGCCATGCCCACATGAATAAAGGCTGGGAGACTCCTCTGGCAGCAGCTCCCACCATCACCAGCAAGCCCAGACTGGTGAACAAGTTTTGCTTTGAGTGTTTTGGCTGATGAGAACAACTTAACTTCCCCCTGCAGAAGCAGGCAGCTCGTCCAGCCCTGTGCCTGATGTTTCCTGCAGGATTACACAATCCAAACAAACTCATTTATGATTCACCTTTCAAAGGCAGAATCATTGACACTGTTTTTGTAACTTACCAGTTGCTTGGGTCTGAAACCTTCAGTTTCAGTTGAGAGTTAGTGCTGTCTGCAACCTTGTATTTCCATTTATTCACTCATTTACTGCCTTTGCACACACCTGTGCTTTGTAGTATTTATTCTGTGACCCTCAGACAGCACCTCTGAGCATGACACGAAGCCTTTAGTAAAAGGAGGGACAAGGTTCCACCTCTGTGTGGCAGGTAGCTGGCTGAACCAGCTCTCAAAAAGCAAAAGGCACCTGGCTCTCACAGCCCTGCTGTCAGCCCTCACCAGCCAAGGGGGCTATTCTGAAATACAATTTACACCCAGAAACAGGAAGCTGATGGCTCTGACCCTGGAAAAGCACACATGTTCTTGGACGCTGGCACAGAAGCACTGCATGAAACTGGGAGTTACTTTTTTGGTGACTTTCCTACTCTGCCATCCTTGCCAACACATTGAGAGATTTCTGTTGCAGCAGCTGCCAGTCTACACCAGTGCTCAAGTGTCTGCACTGAGCTGTCAGGATTTTTAATCTGGTCTCCAGGTGGATTTTATTTGAAATCACTAGAGGCATTCTTGCCAAGTGTGATGACTGGTACTACAGAATTGGGAACAGCACATTTGAATACACCCTGTCAATGAAAGAGATTGAGGCCTTTGGAAAAGCCAGGATTAATAAATGACAATCTGGAATTAACAGAAAGAGCCAGATACAGACATTTAACAAGTAAACTCTACTAATGGCTCTGACACACAACACTGAGCAGGTGCAGAACACAGATAGCAGAGATGAATGGAAGGTAAGGCAGGAACAGTCACTCTGCACTGCTGAAAACACGGGAGGAATACACACAGAGTAGAAGCTGGAAAGCAGAATCAGCTTCTCTGCTGCTCACAAATCTGAATGCAGAGACAGAATTCAGGTGTTATCTTCCCTACAGTACTAAAAAGTTAAGCCATGGGAAATACAATACAAATACAAGCAGGTGTCATGGAAGCAAAGTGACAACACCCAGCACAGGAGACCAAATGAAAGCACATTTAACCATGCTCCAGGTTATTATTATGTTCTCAGACACACAGAAACCAAAAAGTTCATGGAATGGTTTGGGCTGGAAGGGATCCCTAAAGGCCATCTAGTCCAACCCCCTGCAATAACACAGGGAGGTGAAAGTCAAGCACACCAAACACAGACCTGGCAGAGCACAGCAACTTTACACTGTCCACGGGGGAACAGAGCTGGGGAAGGGTCTGGAGCACCACGAGAGGCTGAGGGAGATGGAAAGGGGCTCAGCCTGGAGAAAAGGAGGCTCAGAAGGAACCTTGTGGCTCTGCACAAGTCCTGACAGGACGGGACAGCCGGGGGGGTTGGGGTCTGCTCCCAGGGAACAGGGACAGACAAGGAGAAATGGCTTCAAGTTGTGCCATGGGCGGTTTAGATGGGATACTGGGGAAAATATCTTCACTGAAAGGGTGATCGGGCACTGGCACAGCTGCCCAGGGCAAGGGTGGAGCCCCCATCCCTGAAGGGATTTAAAAGCCGCGCGGATGCGGCACTTGGGGACAGGGGTCAGTGGTGGCATTGGCAGTGCTGGGGGAAGGGTTGGACTCGATCTTAGAGGGCTTCTCCAACCTAAACAATTCTATAATTTGGGTGAAGATCTCTCACATCGTCCTTTGTGCTCCTTTATGGAAAATGAAAACTCCATCAGACATTAACTGCTTTCCCCCTGCCTCCCCAGGGCAGATGCCGCAGCAGCGAGGGCACAGGGCTGATTTAAAGCCTGTCCCTGTTGTGACATTCACTGCCCTGGTTCACCTGTGTCACTCCCTCCTGGCTGTACACTCTGGCAGCTCCATGGCCTGGCAGGGTCTGTGAGCTCAGCAGGGACCCATTGCAACACACACACTTTGCCTCTGGCCATGTGGCTGTACAGCCACCACCACCAAGCTTTCACTTGAGAAACCTTTTTTGGGAGGATGGAACTTGCAGATATTGTAAAAGCCCCTCATCTTCTGCCTGTTGCAGGGATAAAATGGAAATACTCTTCAAAACACACCCTGCAAATCACTGCTTTAACCTCTGCCTACCCAGAGAGCTCCACAGGAGGAGCTGAATAAGCTGCAAAAAAAGCCTGGGAAAACAAGAGGTCAGGGCTGCTTCTTGTCAGGTTTTTGTGGGAGGGTTTGGGCTTGTCTGGTTCACTTTCTTGGTTCATTTTCTTTTTCACAAGCCACTTGCTGGTCCAGTTCCCAGCCTGGCCAGGCAGAGAGCTGGATTAGTATAACCAAGGGAACAGCACAGGATGCTGCAGCAGAGACAGCAGCAGTCCCAAAGCTATTCTTGTGCCCAAATATTCTGCAGTTGTTGGCTCTAGGGTTCATCAGGTATTTAAAACTCTCTAAAAAGAGTTTATTCGTATTGGCTCTCCCAACAAACTCTTCATCCACCACTTGCTTTGCTGTCTGCTGTGGGCTTCTCCTTCAACTGCAGCTCTTCCTTCTGTCTGGCTGGGAAGGGTGAGAAAAGTGGAAGCTCAGCATCCTGCAAGAAGGGGTGAGTAGCTGGAAAGTAAAAGGATTCCCCACCTGACACAGGAAGGAATGTTGGTGGCACAGCTTCACATGATTTCCTAAAAAGAAAAAAGCAGTCCAGGACTAGAGCACGAGCAGTGACATTTTCTATCCTTGGATATAATATAGCTGTCTCCCATGGATAATCAGAGGAAGGGAGTATCAGAACTACTCTGCTCAATTAAATGAATGTGAGAGATTAGAAGACCACAGAGAACCCATCTTGGAGCAGAAAAAAGTTTTTAAAATTACTTCAGGTAACATGAGCACACAAAACTGGCAGCAAGATAAGAGAGGACTTAAGAAGGGCAGCAACCTCACCCAGGTTCAGCATAGAAATTTGTGCTCAAATTATCACTGAAAACATTCCTTCTGCTAGAGCCTGGCAGGATGTGACTGAGAGACCTCCTGTGTTTTACAGCAGTAAAATGAGGCAAGTTAATCCCAGTAAACAAAAGATGATACCTGATGAAACCTCACCTCAAACACACCGTGCAGCAGGACTAAGAGAGGAACAAGGATGGCCACTGCAGCCCAGAGCCTGCTCTCAGATGTGAACCAAAAACCTGGCTTGATCTGAAAGGCAGAACAACTTCCAAGGCAGAAATGCTGTTCCTGGGACACAACAGTGGCACAAGAGTTTAAGCTGGCCATGAGTAAGTGAATGCTGGAAGTTGTAGAAATCTGATTTCGAAAGAGCCAACAGCAGAGAAATAAAAAAGAAACTAAACACAGAACCCAGCCTGAAGTTGAAGCACAGTGCCCTCAGAAAAGGGCTCTGATGTGCCAGCAGGAGCTCCCTGGTGCCACCAAACAGCAAAATTCAGCCTCTGCTTTCATCCTGATGGGGCTCTGGGGCAGGCTCAGCACACCATGCTGCATTCCAGAGAGCACAGCAGGAGCAGCCCCTTCCTCAGCCACACTCAGAGATCCTTGCTGACTCTTTTTTCATCCCTCACTAAAGGAACTCGCCTTTTACTGTAAGAAGGAGCAGAAAGGGGAATTCCCAAGCTCTCCAGGCTCTTTTTTACTGTTTGTACTGGATACAGTCTATAGCCAAGAGGCTGAGAAGAGGAAAAGTGATGTAAAAAACCAAATTTTCAAGTATTTACCCTGCATTTGAGCTATGAATGGCTGATAAGAACACATCCCAGCCAGTTCCTTTCCTCACACCCTCACCCAGCAAGCAGAGACACTCAGCTGGGGCAGGGATGCGAACCTGGGTTCCTCTCCACACCTGCACTTGCTGCTGGCACCCTGAGATGGGAAGGGATCTCCCTGTCCCCTTCCTTTCTCCTCACCTCGCTTCCTTAAGTTTCATTCCCACCTTTGACAAACCTCACTCGATTAAAGCATCGGCAGAACGGGACTTTTCCTGAGGAAATTCAACCCCCTTCTGTCTGCTAATGGAAACAAATATTCCCACCCTGTCCGAGCACAGCCTCGCCCGGCGGGGAGGGAGGAAGGAGGGAACCCACAAGTTCCTACGCCGGGGCTGGAAAAGTTTCCATCAGAAGACAGAAAGCAAAAGCACTTGCTCTGCTCACCCAAGCGAGAGGCTTACGACAGCATGGAAACTTCACCTGCACAGAGTTTAATAAAAAAAAACCCCGAGATATTTGGGGAGGGAGGGGACAGCGAGACATACAGGCGATAACGAGGGAGCACCACTGGGTGATGCGGTGACAGCGCAACGATGTTTGAAGAAATTCATTGATTCATTAACCCAAACTCCATCCCCGCAGCCCCGGGAGCTCTCCCTACCCGCGATGGTCTCCTGGTAGCCCTTGGTGAAGAACTGCATGGCCGTGGCCGCCCTCCAGGGCGTCTTGAGCAGCCCCTGTCTCTGCGGGTCCTCGCCCAGCGCCCGCAGGATGGAGGTGTAGGCGGCGGCCAGGCTGGGCAGGCTCAGCTCGTTGTCCTCCTCGCTGCGGGGCCGCTCTCCCCGCCACCCTTCCCCGCCGCTGCCCGTGCCGCTGCCCGGGGGGACGCGCGGCTTCTCCGCGGCCGCGGGCGGGGAGGGCGGCGGCCGCTCCCGCCGCGCGTACCCGTTCCAGCCCCGCGCCGCCTCCATGGGCAGCGCCGTGCCCGAGCCCCGCAGCCCCCGGGCCGTCCCCGCCCGGCCCGAGCCGTCCCGGCCGCCGCCGCCGCCGCTTTTATCCCGCCCGCGCCGTCCCCATTGGCCGCCGCCGCCGCCATGTCACCGCTGCCGTGAGGCGGCCGCGCTCGGCGGGAGGGGCCGGCGTGCCCGGGATGGGGAGACGGTACAGGGGGGGATCCCCCGGGATGAGAACTGAGGGGGGATACCCGAGATCCGAGGGGACCCCCGGGCTGGGGTGAGCGCTGGGGGTGGAGGGGGTACCCCCGGGTGGGGGGATCCGAGGGGATCCCCGGGTTGAGAGCCTGGCTGGGGGTGCTGGGGGGTCCCTGGGCTGAGGCGTGGGCCGGGGGTACGGGGGATCCACGGGCATCCCCGGGGCTGGGAATGCAGGGGGATCCGAGGGGATCTGGGGGCTGAGGGTACGGGGAGGATGCCTGGGCTGAGGGGTGTGCTGAGGGTACGGGGTGCTCTTGGATCAGAGGGGATCCCCCGGGCTGAGGGATGTGCTGGGGGTACGGGGTGCTCCTGGATCAGAGGGAATCCCCCCGGGCTGAGGGGTGTGCTGGGGGCACGGGGTGCTCCTGGATCAGAGGGGATCCCCCCGAGCTGAGGGGTGTGCTGGGGGCACGGGGTGCTCCTGGACCAGAGGGGATCCCCGGGCTGAGATCTGGGCAGGGGGTCCCCAAGCTGAGGGTGCAGGGGGATCTCTGGGCTGAGGCATGGCCAGGGGCTGTGGGAGTATCCCAAGAGATCTCCAAGCTATGGGATCCCCCAGGACGAGGTGTGTGAGCAGGGTGGGAATGCCCTGGGCTGGGGCTGTGGGAGGATCCAGAGGGATCCTCAGGCTGACCTGGGCTGGGGGTCCAGATGTTCCAGGAGGGAATCCCATGGACTGAGGTGTGCTGGGGGTATGGAGGCAGCAGTGGGGCTGGGGATATGGGGCACCCCCGAGGCTGAAGGGGGGACCCCCCAGGCTGGTAAAAACCTGAGGCATGGGAGAAGGGTACAGGGAGATCCCTCAGGCTGGGGGTATTGGGGTTCTCCAGGTTGCGGTGTGGGCTGTGGTTTTGGGGGGGATTCCCTGGGCTGAGGCAGGAGCTGGGGATTCAGCCCCAAGCTGCTGTAGGGTGCCTCCTGCCATCCTCCCCTGTGGGGGAGGGCTGTGGGGAGCCCAGGGTGAGCAGCAAGGGAATGGGGATGGATGGAGCAGATCCTGCTGGGATGCAGGTTCGTGCCCTTCACAGCAGCTCCCAGCATCATTCTCTATGTTCTCCTCATCCCCTCAAACTCCTAGAGCTGGTCCCTTTCCCAGCAGGGTGGTGTTGGCACATCCTGCCCAGTCACTCCCTGGCACTGCTGGAATGCCACCAGCACCATTCTGAGGCCACTGGGGTTGGGATGCAGTCACCAGAATGATCCCGGGCATGGACTGAGCCTCCTTGGTGACCATTCCCACCACCTCATGCCAGCTGGGCTTCCATCCCTCCAAACCCCTGGTCTCTGCAGGCACCTTCCTGCTGCAGGGCTGGCGTGTCCCAATGTTTTCATATTCCCACCCAGGATTCTGGAAATGTGCTAACTCTGATGACCCAGACCAAATATTTTGAAGTTTCTGTGGAGAACTTTATAGGCATGTCACCCAAAAAGTGGTTTGAGCATCCTGCATCCTCCTGGGCACTTTTGGGGCAAACCCAGCAGACAGAGCACAGCTTGGGTTCAAGAGTTGGTGAACAAATAAATGCTGGGGCAGATTTTTGGAACACAGGTCCCCTCCAGCTGGAGCTATTCTGGGATTTTATGAGCTGGAAACTGAGTCTAAAGGCTCAGCTGAGCATAGGGTGAATGCTCCATCACCCAAGCACGAGCAGGGGGACTCATATTTTCTGGATTGCAATCAAATAAATGGCCAGGATCTAAAGGAGCCACAAACCCTTCTCTTCACACCACCGGTCCTTAAGGCAGCAGGGACAAATTGTCCCCCTCTTGTGCCTAGGAAATGGTAAATTGCTGGGAAGATAAGGAGGGGAAGGAGCTGTCAGAGGGTGGGGTGTGACTCACTGGCTTTCCTCCTCCTCCTCCTGACACAAGAGCTGCATTTAACTAAGACAAGCAAGAGAAAAAGAAAAGAAAAGAAAAAAATACCCCAGCAGCTGTAACACGCTGCACATTTCCACATTTATCATTTGGTTTCTGATCACAGGTTTTACCAGAAGAGTCAGGATGACTCAGGTGAAATCCAGGGCCCTGCAGCCAGCCAGGCTTTACTCCCTGTTATTGCCCCAGGCTCTGGTCAGGAGCAGGAACTGCTGCACCAGAAGGATTTGGAGCCCTGAACTGCATCCCTGCTCCTCCCCAGACACCCAGCTCATTTCCCAGTCCTCTGAGGATGTTCAAATCCTCTCTGAACCAGACAAGTTCCCTCACTAAAAACATCCGTGGGCCTCAGCAGAAGGATCGTGCTTCCCTTTGGATCCCGGCCGAGCAGACTCGGTTCAGAGGGCTGGGTGATGTTCCTGAGGAGCTTCAAACCACTGAGCCCTAATCAGCCATACAGAAAAGGGGTTAGCAAAGGGCATCTAAGCATCTTGGCCCTCCCTAGTCTTTGCTCTCTTTGTTTTCTTGGAAAAGAAGATAAGCTCCCTCTGGAGTCAACCCCGACTTTGTAACCACTTGAGCTTAGCTGCTGTGGGAGCTGGTTGTAATTTTTCTCCTATTTATGGGGCAAGAAGGGCATTTCCAGCTTATTTACCAGCATGATATCACTGCCTGGCTGTGCAGAAAAACACTTTTTCTGAGGGTGTTTGAGCAGGAGTTGCACGCACGGGAGCTGATGCCAGCAGTTCTGTTAACGGCTTTTGCCAACATGGAATTAGTAGGTTCAGGTAATTGGGATTTGTGCCAGGATGTGCAAGGACACAGCCCAACTTCCAGCCACAGTGGAGTCCTCTCCTTTTGAAACACAACCCCACATCAGCTGGGTAAGAAGAAGCACTAAGACTTTTGGGGTTTTGAAGTATGTTATGATGAGATTCTGTTGATAGTTCCCTGTTATTTACACCCCATGTTCTCATTAAGCCTTCTCAAATAAGTTTTTCTTTGCTATTTCTGAATACATACCAAAAAAACAGTGAAATACAGACTATAAACTAGAGGAGTCAATGAATATTGAAGGTTGGAAATGATCTCTAAGACCAACAAGTCCAACCATTAACTCAGTACTAACCCATGTCCCCAAGTGTCACATCCACATGGTTTTTGACCACTTCAAGGGATGGTGACTCCACCACTTCCATGGGAAGCCTATTCCAGTGCCTGACCATTCTTTCAGTGAAGAAAATAATTTCCCCAATATCCAATCTAAAGAAATTTTCCCCAGTATCCAATCTAAACCTCCCCTGGCACAACTTGTGACCGTTTCTCCTTGTCCTGTCCCTGTTTCCTGGAGCAGAGCCCAATCCCCCCCGGCTGTCCCCTCCTGGCAGGAGCTGTGCAGAGCCACAAGGTCCCCCCTGAGCCTCCTTTTCTCCAGGCTGAGCCCCTTCCCAGCTCCCTCAGCTGCTCCTCACAGGACTCGTGCTCCAGACCCTCCCCTAGAGGGAATGTGCCCTGTTTTTCTCTCCTCTGCTTGCATAGAGCTTGGAGGGTATTTTCACACTTTAAAGAGAATAAATTCTTAAAGATCAACAGAACAAGGAGTGCAAAAAAATCCTGATATTGTAACTTGAATTCTTTTCAAATGTAGAATAAGGTTTAGAGGAGGTGTGAGCCCTGTGCAGCCACTAAAGGGTGCTGGGGGTTCCTTGAGAGAGCCAGGGGATGCTGCTGGGGGCCAAGGTCCATGGGAAAGCCCTTCAGAGGCCTCTCTTGTCTTTGAAAGTGGGGAAAATATCAAAAAGGGAGAGAATGGAGCAGGTCTGTGTCCAGGCTCCTGCTCCTTGACCTGCTTTAGTCTGTTGAGCTTCCTCGTGGCTTTGGTGGGACACAGCTGGGAAGGGCTGGAGCATCATTCCCTGTGTGTGAAATGTGCTTCTCAGGGTTGCAAGAGTGGAGTCCCCAAAAGAAACCTCTCCATGCCAAAGCTAAGGATGAAATACCCTGGGCAGTCCTCATTGGGGCGGGTGAATCCATCAAAAAGGTGTTTCAAAGGGAATCTCTGCACAAACAGCTGCTAAAAAGCTGTCAGAATAAATACAAATAATTCACAGAAGACACCTGCTTTTCCTCTGTTGGCTACAAAATGGGATCATTCAGGACTGGGCTCAGAGCTTAAAGATGAATTCCACTCTCTCAATCCAGCACATCATTAACAGCTCAAGCAGCAAAAGAGCAAAGCCGATCAATCCTGCTCTTAACAGCAAGCCAGGACGTGGCCCCAGTGTGATCCTGGAATAATAGCTGAGCCCACAGAGGCCATGGATGGCAACATCCCAGCCTACAGACATCCTTGCCATGCTCTGGAAACAGCCTGAGATTTATCAGCCCCTGGAATCACAGTGCGTCAGTTGCAAGAGTGAATCACGAGCAGTTTCATTCTATTACCCAGAATAACGAGCAAAATTGATTACAGGCTCCTAAAATACTAATTTGTTACAGGAGGATTTGTTGCTCCATGAGGACAGAGGATTCCCAGGGTCTGAGGGATTTTCTGCAGATGGGATCTGCACTGTAACTTGCTTGGTGGGGTCTCACATTTTAGGGATGAGGCTGGAGGTGGAGGCAGCAGTTTTGCCCTGCCCCAGATTTCTTTTCCTGCCCTCACAGAGAAGGACACAGGGACTCTTGCCAATGGGTGTATGCTCCCCAAAATTTGGAAAACATCAGAAGGATTGGGCTGGGTAGGCTGTAGCAGGTGAATTCATATTTGTGAATGTGAAACCAGACATATGACACAAGTCTCCTGGCCCTCATGGACCTATTCCCAACAGAAGGTGTCTGACATCAGCCAGGATGATCTTTAGGTCTCTCCATTCCATCACCAAGGGTGGCTTTGGACTCACAGCCCAGGCAAATGGGAACAGCAGCCGTGTCCCTGCATCACTCCCCTCAATTGCTCCTCACTGTTATTACCCCAAGATATCGATAATGTGATTTGGAGACCAGACTGTTCCCTGGCAACACATGGCTTGAAACTATTCCTGCAAATTTTCCCTGCAATTCATGTCCAATTGAGTCAGGATCAAGTGGCTCTTTTCACAGCCTGGGTCGGTATTTGTGTTTTGCCTGCCTTTAAGTAAATTATTTACTATTAAATTTGTTTGGCAGCATTCAGCTGAGCACGTTTAGTGCAACAACCAGGCAGAGGGAGAAGCCAGATCTGCTGTTCTCTGTCAAAGAGCTCCCTGAGGCACCCAGCTTCCTCACAGGCAGCTCTCACAGCCCATCTCCTCCCTGGATTATCCAGCCAGGACCACCAGGTCACTCCATGACCAGCACAGTTACATTTTTTGGAAGGAAGCTGAGATGCATCTCATAGCCAGAGGACCTCTGAGAGGGGAAATCTTGTCCAAATACAAGTTCTCCCTTGCCCAGCTCCACCCTATGAATCCAAAAGTGATGGATCCATCCTGACTCCCCCATTCTACAAAATCACTTGGCTTGGAAAAGACCTCTAAGATCACCAAGTCCAAGCATCAAACCCAATCACTGGGATTCCTAGTGCAGCCAAAGTAAAAAACATCAGGGAGATTCCTTAGAACAGTTTCCAAGTTCCTGGTTTTCCAGCAGAAAGGTGGCAAGTTCAGGACAAACAAACATTTCTGAAGAATTCAGTGAAATTCAATTGAATTATTTAGCAACGTTGTTAAAAAAAAAATTAAACAATCAAAGAAACAAAAAATGAAAAACAGGTAGTAGAGATTTACCTGTTTTCACTTGGAAATCCATTCCACATTTTCTGTTTCTTGGTCTGGCATTTCATTTCCCCTGGAATTAGGATTTATACTTCTCCCTGTCCTGCCGCTGCTGTTGCTGGATGAGTGCACCCCATCCCCGGCCCAGCACGGCTCCCTGGAAGGCTCCAGGTGATGGAGGATGTATTTGTAGCTCTGCCTGGAGCTGTGTAATAGAGCAAAACCCATCTTTGATGATAGAAACGCAAGAGCAGCCTCATGGGAGATGATCCTCCCAGCAGTAAAGCAGCTGGAATATTCACTGCCGTGGTCCCAAGAGCCCGTTTGGTGTTTGTTTTAGGGCCATGGACAGCAATCACCAGGGAACAAGTCCTGGGAGGAGCAGCTGAGGGAGCTGGGAAGGGGCTCAGCCTGGAGAAAAGGAGGCTCAGGGGGGACCTTGTGGCTCTGCACAGCTCCTGCCAGGAGGGGACAGCCAGGGGGGGATCAGGCTCTGCTCCCAGGGGAAAAGGGACGGGAACAGAGGGAACGGCCTTCAGTTGTACCAGGGGATTTAGATTGGATATTAGGAAAAAATTATTCATGGGAAGGGTTCTCAGGCACCGGCACAGCTGCTCAGAGCAGGGGTGGAGTCCCCATCCCTGGAGAGATTTAAAAACCATGTGGATGTGGCACTTGGGGACATGGATGAATGGTGGCCTTGCCAGTGCTGGGGGAATGGTTGGACTCAATGGCCTTGGAAGTCTTTTCCAGCCTTAAAAATTCTGATTCTAGAATTCTGATTCTACCCACAGTCACACAGCTCTGATGCAAATTTTCAAATCTGGAGTTGGAAGCAGCTCTGCCAGCTCTAACCTGCCCTGAGATCCAGACTGTGACCCCAAGGCTGGGGACATTGTGTCTGATGAAGGAACAAGTCCTGGGAGGAGCAGCTGAGGGAGCTGGGAAGGGGCTCAGCCTGGAGAAAAGGAGGCTCAGGGGGGACCTTGTGGCTCTGCACAGCTCCTGCCAGGAGGGGACAGCCGGGGGGGTCGGGGTCTGCTCCCAGGGGAGCAGAGGGAACAGCCTTCAGATGTACCAGGGGATTTAGATTCGATATTAGAAAAAAACCATATTCATGGGAAGGGTTCTCAGGCACTGGAACAGCTGCTTGAGGGAGCTGGGAAGGGGCTCAGCCTGGAGAAAAGGAGGCTCAGGGGGCCCTTGTGGCTCTGCACAGCTCCTGCCAGGAGGGGACAGCCAGGGGGGGATCAGGCTCTGCTCCCAGGGGAAAAGGGACGGGAACAGAGGGAACGGCCTTCAGTTGTACCAGGGGATTTAGATTGGATATTAGGAAAAAATTATTCATGGGAAGGGTTCTCAGGCACCGGCACAGCTGCTCAGAGCAGGGGTGGAGTCCCCATCCCTGGAGAGATTTAAAAACCATGTGGATGTGGCACTTGGGGACGTGGGTGAATGGTGGCCTTGCCAGTGCTGGGGGAATGGTTGGACTCAATGGCCTTGGAAGTCTTTTCCAGCCTTAAAAATTCTGATTCTAGAATTCTGATTCTACCCACAGTCACACAGCTCTGATGCAAATTTTCAAATCTGGAGTTGGAAGCAGCTCTGCCAGCTCTAACCTGCCCTGAGATCCAGACTGTGACCCCAAGGCTGGGGACATTGTGTCTGATGAAACCCACAAACGTTGCACTGTAAAAACTATTATGCAGGGAGAAAAAGCACATGGAAATCAGGGCCCTGCAGGATGGTGCCCAATACCCCCAGTGATTTCCATGAAACCACCCCTAAATCCAGGAGCCTCCTTTTAAACCGACCTTTGGTGTGTTTGTTCAGAAGAGCTGTGTCATTGCAAACATCCAGCTCCCAGAAAACTCCCCTGGAAGTTTATTTTAGCTGTTTTCCTCTCTCCACTGGGAGCCAAAAGGACTTTGGGTGCTCTGTAGGACATTGTTTGCAGCAGTGGATGCCTCCCCAGATCCCTTGGAAGTTTTCCCTGCCCACTTCCAACATCAGGTCAGTAAAGGGCTCTGGATAGGCAGCCCAAACATGGATTTTGGATGTGGATGACAAGAATTACCTGGAAAATCTCCCAGCACGACACTCAAGATGCTCCAGTCACCCTCAGAACAACCCAGTCCAGGAGAAAGAAAACATTTCAGTTCACCAAGCCCAGTGATTTTTCATCAGGATGTTTTCCTTACCACTGTAATCCTATTTTTTCCCCAATATACCCAAACAGGCTTTACTAGCTAAAAATAAAACCCAGTCTGATACAGTAACTTCTTCCCAAAGAAAGCAGAAAACTCAGAATGCTTCCTGCACTATGTCAGTGCAAAAAATGATGTATATTAGATATTACTTGCTGCCCACTAACAGCTTAAACAAATAAAACTGAAATGATAGGTAAGAACTGTGGATGACAGAAGTATTGAAGTTGTCAGTTCTTCAGGATTTTCTGTTGGTATTTCCCATCCCTGGTTGACATCACAACCCTCTTCTTGTTTTCTCCAAAATTACCTATAGTCATTGCTAAAATAGTCTAATAAAATACTTATTACAGTAAAATCTAATGGTTTTTAGTGAAATCTCACTCAATCTTCAACCCACAGATTTCAAGGTTTAAAGTGTGTTTTGAATTGAAAGTCATTTGCCTTTTATAGAACTGAAGAATTAAGGTTGTAAAAGATCTTCAAGAACAAGTCAAGTAATACTGATGTATTTTCAGCAATAATCACAGTGATTTGTGTGGAATGTCCAGTTCTACCCCTGCCATGGCAGGGACACCTTCCACTGTCCCAGGCTGCTCCAAGCCCTGTCCAACCTGGCCTTGGGCACCTCCAGGGATCCAGGGGCAGCCACAGCTGCTCTGGGCACCCTGTGCCAGTATGAAGAGGAATGAAAAAAGAAAACAATGAAAGGCTGTGCAAACACAAGAAAAATAAAAAGAATTTGAGAACTCTTCAGTCTCAGCTGTTATGCCAAAAACTTACGTTATTTTAACTGATCTTAGGAAATGTTTCAAAATTTGAGTTTGCTTCAAATACATTTATTAGACATAGTGCTCTGTCTCCAGAGCAGGGTAAAACCAGCTGACTGCCTTAGGGCTGGTAGGTAGAAATCTGTTTACTTTAATTACAACTGCAAAGAAGACTCTACCACCTTAAATAAAGAAACAGCCATTTTATTTAAAGAAACAAACATTACAGACATAAATGTTAGAAATATTAAAAGTTCCGAGCAGTTTCTGGATCCTGCTGAGGCAGGGATTGGGAAAGCACCTTTGCACAGTCTGGAATGGTTTGGCTTTGCACACCTGACCTTCCTAACTCAGTTTCTGCTCTGGTTTTCTATCCCTGCCCACATCAGGCTCTGCCAATGCCACAGGTGTTGAAAATGCAGCTGAACATGTTGCTGGTGTCCAGCTTTCTCCTCCTCACACCCATTTCCTGGAGTGTCTTTGCTCTCAAGGCAGTAGGGATGGTAGGGAAGCCATTATTTTGCCTCTCTAAAACCACAGGGCAGATTTTGTAGTAGTTTACCCTCCCCAGAAGGATTAATCTGCATTTAGCACCCAATATCACTGCTATCAGGGCACACGGGGTGTACCACAGTACACAGCTCTGCTCAGGGTGTGCTGCCAGGGAACAGGCCCATGAGCAGGAACTGGTCAAAGACTGTGGGAGGGGATTCAACATTCCTCTCAAAAATTGATAATAAACCACTTTCTAACAGACTATTTGGAGCCAGGCACTCTTTTTGCCAGTGCTCTTCAAGCATGGCAGCCAACTCCTCAACACAGAGGAATTTCTTCCATGAATTCTTTCAGAACACAGACACTGAGAAGGGACCACTTCATCTAGCTCTGCTTGAAGGCAAAAGATGACAATCTGTTGTTTGTGGATGGATCTAAAGGCTTGGATTTTTTGGATACATTTGTGTCCTCTGATTTCTGCTCCTGGCTCTTTTTCACTTCATCTTCCTCAGCTGTGGGGCGCTTCCTCTTTTTGTCTTCTGCTGAGTCACCGACTCTTCCTCCTCTTGCTTTCTCAGTCCACACCTTTGAAGGAGACCAGAAAACTACAAATTAGGTCACAAAGCTCACCACTTTGTTTAATACACATTATCACTCTGATCTTAAGGTACTGAAATAATTCCTGTGATGAACTAATAGGGATTAAGTAAGGAACTGTTTCCTCACTTTCCTTTTTTGTAACAACATTCTCCTTCAAAACTGGATTTCTTTTGAAACTGTATATGAAATTGAAGCTCTTAATTGTCTTTCTGAAGAAATGAGAAACCCAAAAGATTCAACAAGTTAAATGAGAACAAATTTAATCCCCTGTGAATTAAGCCTGGCTATGTGACTTTGAACTCATTCCTTTTGTTATTTGTTCATTGATTACATTCCTCTCACAAGCCTCACTTTGGAAAAGCTGCTTTCTGATATTGCTTATAATTCAGTTTATATTTTCATAAATGGTATGTCATAGATCATGGCACGATTCAAAATTAAAATCCATAAAGATGGATAGGAGTGGAATTTCCAGAAAAAATTCCTAACTGAAAATAACCCAGGGATTCACTGGAGAGAAAAAAATTATCAAACCCACAGAATTAGAAAATGTTTTCTTACCATCCTTTCCTCTGATGTCAGCATTCTAAATCGACTCATTCCTTCTTTTATTACTTCTGCTTCATTCAGATCAGGATTATCTGTCAAAATGTTTGCTCTGTTCTCTTCTAGCCACATCTGGAAACCTGTCTTTGGTCTAAAACAAACACAGAAAAATTGTCTGGTTAAGAAGATTATAGGAAAACCACATCCTCCCAAAACAGCATTTCTGAGCAGCACCTAAGTGGGTATTTTTGCTCTCAGACCTCTCAGGGCAGCAGGCTCCTCTCTCCCACTGCAGGATGCTCTGAGAACATGCTGACAAGGCAAGACTAAGTCAAGCATTTTCATTAAAACTGTGATATATATATATATATATATATATATATGGAGATTAACATTCCAGTTTTAGAATGACAAAGCATAATGGTTCTCTTCCTTTCTGACAGGGTCCCATCAAGCTAAAAACAGAGCACATTCATTAGCTCAGCTCATCTTTCTCACAGCTCTGCTTGCCACTTGTTGCAGAACATCATCTGTAAAGGTTAACTGAAAGAATGCCAGTCCAAATGAGTAATAATTACCTTCATCTTCCTCAGCTAAATGAAGCCTAAATGAAACACGATTGTAATAATGCAGGTTTCATGAGGATTGGGATTGTTAGGAAATACATCTGCTTCCCAGGAACAAAATACATTAGGGCCTCAGCTAGGAAGAGATGAGCTCCTCAGGTGATTCAAGGCTTTGAGATTTTCTAGAGCTGTTGGAAATTTCAGTATTTCCTATACTTGGAACTGTCACAGCAGCATGGTTTCATTTGTCATTGCAAGTACTATCAAGGCAAAAATTGTTGCTTAGAGCCCCAAAATTATATTTTGAACTGCTCATTTATTATTCCCTCCCACATTTTTCAGGTGGGTTTGCAAATGTGACAATTTGTGAGCTAAACTTTAATCTTCATGTTATATTTCTCTGGCCAGCTCAATATGTTCAGAAATACAACAGATTTTGGACTTGTATTTCTATCAAAATTGGAATATGGCACTGAGACACAAGTGTCTCTCACCTTCTGTTTTCAGTGTTTTCCTGTGCAGCGACTTTGGCTTCTTGGGACTCATTTCCTGCTTTTTCTTCTCTTTCTTCCACTGTTTTTTCACCAGGATTAGCTGCAGGTGTGCGAGGCTGGAAGAAGGAGGCTGCTGAAGCCTACAGAAATGGAAAATAAGAAAGAAAAAAGTAAAATCACCTCTCTCTCAGACAACATGCAGCATGTAGCCTAACAAACCCCAAGTATTTCCTAAAGACATAATAATCACTTGCATTAATAGAGTATCTAGTCCATCCAATTTCAGCACAGCAGATGTTTATATTATTTAAAATAAAAGCACAAGGATCAGTACAGAAAGTAATTTCTACAACTGATTTTTTTTCCTGCTGTTTTATGTGCTGTCACAGTCTTTGCACTATGCTTAAATGAATTCTGCCATCTAAGCTGCTTTACTCACAGGGTTTCATACTTGATAAAAGCTGGTAAAATTCAATTTTTTGTTCTTTCCTCACTGAAATGATGCAAGAAAGACTACAAACATTACCTGCTTGGTCTTGGGTTTGGGAGTCAGAGGCTTTATAACTGGAGGGTTCTGCTTGTCTGCAGCTCGACTGCCAGATGAAGATGTTTTCTTTGAGTATTTGGTCATATTGTCTAAAACTTTTCCTGAGGGGACCACTGGGTCCTTTTTGCTGGATGACACCTAGCAAAACAAAGAAATAGGTGTTTTATTTATTTTCTGTCATGTTCCCCTCCAAGGTATCAGTTATATTGCAAACTCCAGAGAGAATCTGTTGTGATTTTCACAGCATCACAATCGAAGCTGCAAAATTCTTACCTTAAATGGATTCACTCGTCCTCTGCTGCTGGATGCAACCAGAGCTGTTTCAGAGGAGAGAAAAAAGAATGTAAAAATGTGTGCACTCACACATATATCCAAATCTTTGAGGCAATGTGCACATTTCAAATGAGTAGAAAGACACTTTAATAACCCTGTGAAGGTTATGCTGTGAGTGCTCAGCTATTCTTAGTTATCAGAAGTGCCACACAGGACCAACAGCTTAAAATACAAACCCAGAGGAAGACCCAGTACTTCCTCCACTCCCAAATCCGTTTCCACTCCTATTATTCTTGCTCAAGGGTTGGCAGGTTGCTGGAGGTCACAGTCTGCCCCTGCCTGCCCACACTCACAGCGCTACCTCAGGATTTCTCACTCTGCCTTGCAAGTAATAAATGTGCCTGTGGGTAGTGAAACAAATCCATTGATCACTGCTCTCATTTCTCCCTTGTGCCAAAGGATGCCTTCATGGCACAGCCAGGCAGGCACTGATTCAGCACTTGGCACAGCTGAGGCATTCAGAACAGTGTTATGGACACCATTAGGTACTGAAGTCAGGAACAGGGAACTTCTTAAAAATAATCTGTGTGACCAGGCCAGGCTGGACAGGGCTTGGAGCAGCCTGGGATAGTGGAAGGTGTCCCTGCCATGGCAGGGGGGTGGAATGAGGTGAGTTTTAAGGTCCCTTCCAATCTAAGGCATCCCACAATTCTGTCAATTTACCATCTGACAACACTGTTACGCACTAAATTTAAGTAGTAATAAGAGAACAAGGGATAAAAAACAGGAGCAGATTTGTGAAGAATGACAAAGGTGTCATCCTTTTATCCTGGAATAAATTATTTACTCACCAGGCTTTGGAGTAGTTACCTCTGCTGAAGTGACACCTTTGGAGAAACAATTTGGCTCTTCTGAAAAAGGAAAGGAGAATATATTTAAATGCAATAAAATATTGTAGCATAGATTCTTTTAAAAAAATCAAACCAAACAGACAAGTAAGGAAGGATGAGGCTTGAGCAACCTGGTCTAGAGGAAGGTGTCCCTGCCCTTGGCATCAGGGCTGCAACTGGATAATCTTTAAGGCCCCTTCCAACCCAAACCACTCTGTGATTCCATGATTACAGTAAAATTATCAGAGAGTACAAACACCTTTACAAAACCATCTGCCACCTCTACCTAGATTTAGAGTTGTACATTTATTTCTTAAACCTTAAGCTTATTCCTTAAAATGTGCCCAAACTACTCATCTATCAATCTACCTCCTGCACGACTGGAGCCGAAATCAAAGTAACTGATTAGAAGGTGAGCCAGTCCTTTAGGAATAAAATCAGGCAACAGGAAGAAGTCCCCCAGGGCCCCTCTAATGGATACTGAGCACAACGCACACACAGCTGTGACACAGCAGATGACACACAGTGAACTTGTTTCTCTGCAGTGACTGCAGGCACAGGCTGGAATATGGAGCCACTCAATTCCTTATTGAGTCTGCAAAAGCTGTCTGGATAACTCCCAGACTATTCAGAGAATATATTTTTCTTACTCTCTTTATGCACTTCTGGGGTTTCTTCTGCTTCCTCACAGGCATCAGTTTCTTCATCATCTTCCACTTCTTGGTCCTGCTGAACATTCCTGCCTGGCAGCTGACCCCACTTGGTGGCAGAGCTGCTGGAACTAAAGGAAGGAATTCAGCAGAAAGGAAGTGGTCACCAAGTCAGCAGGAAAACTGAAACAGGCAGCAAGCTCACTTACCTAATTTAGGCAATAAGAACAACAACACTTGGCATTTATGTGCATTATACCTTGATTAAACTGTGATTATTAAAGATTCATTAACCACTCCATAATTTTATTGCCAAAACAGTTTGCAACAAATATAAATGCAAATATTAAAGATCTTCTCTAATCTTCATGTAAACACATATACCTCCAGTATCATCAGATTACTTTTCTGTAAACATGAATACACACAGTATATTCATATATACTGCTTATATGTATTTTATATATATACAGATATATAATAGGTGTTTATATATATAAAACATGAATATATAATTTCATACTGGAGGCATCAAGTTTGAACATTTAATCGGTTTATTCTCTAAATTCCCAATATAGTATGATGTACAATTCTTGCATTTTCCTCCTAAAATTTGCCAAATACCAAAATCTGTGTAATATACATAAACAAAAGGCCCATTTCTTTCAACCAAAACAATCAGTATTAGATTACTCTGGCACTAAGAACAACATAGTGATTGTGATGGATTTTAACCCTTAAGAGTGTTTGAAGTTGCAGACATGGGATTACAGCTTCCACACAGGATCCAGAAGAACAAGCCAGAATATTTAGAAATTAGTTTTGTCTGTGCAGTTTAACACAGAAGAATAAGGGAAAGGCTACAGATAAGTTCAGGGACTTATCACTTCCTTTTGCTTAAATAAGTCCCAAACTTCATACATAAAATTGCTATAGGGAGATATTGCTTTCAACAATATGACATAAATGAATATAAATATATATTATTACTATTATAAATTTAAATATGTTAAAAAGTAACCCCATGACAATTTAAAAAAACCTACCAAAACAGAATCACACACCTTTTGCCTCATCATGTTACACAAAGCAGATGCAGGTAGGAGAGGAAAGATTGATAGCACAAAGAGAAAAAGAATGCAAAGCCAACCTGTAATATGTTCCATAGCTTTGAAGAGCTGGGATTAGTTAGGAGGGAATAAGACTAAATAAAATAAACTGAGATGGGATATTGAAAGAAAGGGATGGGTGGAGAAGGATAGGATTTTAAGACAGGTGTGGAATGAATCGAGATTGAGAGACTGGGGCGAAGAAGGAAAAAAAAATAGGTGGGAGTCAGCCAAAGGTAGGGAAATGTGGGAAGAGAAAATTCTAGTTAGAGCAACTTAGCATTGAGCCTGCTTTGGCTCTGAGGCTGCTGGACACAGACACAGGAAGTGAGGAGAGGAGATATTTCCCTCTGTGCTGGTATCCTGGGACTAATGAGTCCTCACGAGACACCACCAAGGGTGTGTCATTTCACAAGTACCATTTCCAAGCAGAGCAACTCGAGCTGTCACTTCACCCACAAATACCCTGCAAAACTGTGGGCCACAGTGCACCAAAACCTTACCAGAGGAGCAAAAACCATCCCAGTTTTAGCCACAGAAATTCGCCTTACCCGGCGCTCGAGTGCTTTGGGAAATCCTCTTCCTCCTCCTCATCTTCCTGTGCTGCTGCCAGCTCTGAGGCTTTTTCCACGGCCACCTCACTGAGGAGCTGGGCCAGGTTGAGCCTGCGGGAGCGGGAGGCGTATTTGATGGCCAAATTCAGCACGCTGTGGGTCATGAGCTCAGCGAGCTCCACGCAGCGGGACTCGCGCTCCAGCTTACAGGAAAGCTGCAAGAGAAGGAGCCTGGGGAGTCACACACCTCAATTCCACAGCTCCCTCAAGACTCCAGGAGCAGGATATCATGGTCTTGGTGGAGTGAATGAATAATGATAAGACACCAACAATCATGAGCTACAGATCAAAGAAAAGCTTTGTTATTTTCTTCTTCCCCCACACTCCACACTGGAGCCCACCTCTTACCTGAGTCTGAACTAGCTGGATTGCCAATCACTAGCCAGACTCCTAACAAGAGGAATCACATCAGCATTTACACCAGATGCCATCTACAAATTATAGAATCATAAAATGGTTTGGGATGGAAGGGACCTTAAAGCTCATCTCATTCCACTCCCCTGCCATGAGCAGGGACATCTTCCACTATCCCAGGTGGCTCCAAGCCCTGTCCAACCTGGCCCTAAGCACCTGCAGTCCCAGGGATAAATCTTAGGGATTCTTTCTATTATGTATTTGTACTTACAGCAAACAGCTTCATTAGAAGTTCCTGCTGTTCTTTCACTGCCTGATTTTTAGCATTTTCATCAAATTCGTATCCATTTTTTGACAAGTAATCCATGTGGCTGTGAAATAAAACAGAACGCCAGTACTGCTCCTGAAAAAAAGGGAGAAGGATGAGTGTTGGAATTCAGAGGGGAAAAACAGTCCACAACATAATGCCTAATAATTTACAATGTATTTTATCCACTTATTCTTAATCATTCCTTTCCTCTGATAATGAGGGTGAGGGGCAGACAATTCTCCTTCAAGTCAATGCCTACCAAGGAAAAGATGGATAACAACCACACTTACACAAACTGATCCAAACAGTTGCCATGTATTTTGAATTCCATTTACATGACAGGCTTGCAGCAGGATGAAACCTACATGTTCACCAATATACTATCAGGACAGACAATTCTAGAACAAGTTATTTTATCTGCTGTCCCACAGCACACTGGAAGTGCTCCAGAGTAACTCAGCAAACTTAGGGGTTAACCTGAGAGACAAAAACAGAAGCTATAATGCAAGTATGGCTGTTAGACCAGGCTAGCCTTGTTCAAAATTATTATAAACTTATTCAAATCCAGTATGTTTTCATCAGATGTATTAGAAAAACTTTTCTTTACCTACACATATTCCCTCAAGCCAAATCAACAGTTCCTGGCATTCTCACACCATTATTTTGGGTAGAAGGAGAAATGGCAAACTATCAGATAATGAATAAAACACTTAACCAAATGAAGAAGAATTCATTAAAAATGTCAGGGTGTTTACTATTGAAACTTTTTATCTACACTTCTGTCAAAGAGAGTAAATTTGAAATAGCATTAAACTGTTCAAAGGCTGAGGTTAGAATTGTATGTTCATTTCTCTTTTGTGCATTACAGCTGAGCATTACAAGTTTGAAATACTTAAACCAATAGAAATTGAAGAATAAAGACAGTTCTTTTTCTAAAAGTTGTCCACAGGCACATCCTGCTTCAACCAGACTCCAAATAAGCCAAGCCAGAAGAAGACCTGTGTTTTCAGTGATTATGAATCTGGATACTTAGTACATCTTTCAGAAATTTTGTTATGCCTAAAATAGTAAAACCCAGACATATTCAAGGGCATCTTGACTGGGATCCCCAAATCTGCTATCACAACCCACTAAAAAAACAAGAGTGAGAAAGACTTCAGCAGTCAGAAAGAGATCATGTGTAAATACAACTTTGCATCAGCTCTGCCAGTTTTATTTTGTGCTCTTCTAGGAACAGTTGTGACCCAAACCAGAGAAGCTCCACAAAACACTGAACCCAAATAACCCCTTTGGCCACGTGTTTTCCTCAGGGTTTGCACTGTTCCTCTTTCACAGCAGAGGGGATTTATAGGGGTCTTGTATCATCCCCACTCCAGGGACACCTGAGCCTCCCAGCTGTGGACTCCACACCATTCCGTACCTCCATCTGTCCCTTCTCTGTTTCACCTTGGCAATAAGGCAGTTTAAAAGGCAGGATTGCTACAGCAGGTCGTGGCAGGGTGGGAGGGAAGCGGGCTCCTTTACAAGGGATACACCTGTGCACAGAAACACAACATCACCAGATGTTCCACACCCAAACCAGCTCTCCTAAGCAGCAAGATACTTTAAGAGGATTTGTCCTTTGGAAAGAAGCAACTAAATGACTGGCTAAAATACAGCAATGTGTAAGATTGCATGGTAAAAGCAAGAAAAGAGTTCAAAACCAGCAAGGCACACGCTGCTCTTGTTCACACTAGAAACTCCAAATGTGGCATGTAATACACTCTGATCTTGATGTCACAGAATGTTTGTTTTAACAGCTGTCACAAAGAGTACATGCAATATATTAAAATCAGAAACCACTGAACAACTGAAGGCACAGACTTATTGCTTCACTATATTTAAAGGAGTAATTTCTGGTAACAATCACTTAAACAAACCATTGACTGGGGGAGAGCTGCATTTCCTGCAGCACCAATGCAGCACTGACAAAAACATCTGGGTTTCTAAGCTGCTGTTCCAGAGACTTGGAAAAAAAGAACAGGAAGCATCAGTGTTCTGGCTATCTCTTAATTAAGGCATGTGGTGTTCCTACAACAACCCTCCCCCATCCTTATCTTCATTATGCTGCTGCCTTTGAGTAAAATGTGCTTAACAATTCAGAGAGCAGCACTCTCCCTCTTGGAGTACAAGGAAAAACTCAGGATAAGAGCTTCACAGTGATGTGATCTGCACATTTTTGATGAATTTTCTGGAGGCCAACATAATGATTTGGAGGGAGAAACAGACAGGGAAGTGACATTTTAACAGAGGTATCAAATTATTTCCCTTATTCCAAAAAAGCAGAGTATTATGAAGAATGCCACATAAGTTTAAATAAAATTCAGTCTCCCACAAACTCTACAATTGTCCGTAATTAGTAAAGTACAAGAGTCTAAATTTCAGTAAAATATGTGAGCTGATGGATTCTGCCCTGGTAGGAAAAGGACACAGACCACTGAATAAAAACTGCTACAAATAAAGCTTAGCAACAAAATGTCCAGCATACATGTCATACTAAAGAGAAACAGCTATTTAGACACACCAGTATAACATTTCATAAAGAAATAGTTAGCTTTCAGCTGAATATTTTACATCCAAAATGGTTCTTCAAGGCCACAGTTTAAATATTAATGTAGTAACAGACAGCTCTGATTTATCTGTGTCTGATGATGTAGATGAGTTACAGGATTGGACTATTTTCTAAGCCAAAAAAGGGGGAAACAAAGGGGGAGAAAAAAGATACCAAGAACCCCAAAAACTTGGGAAAAAAAAGAAAAAACAACCAAAGCCATCAAAAGCAGAAGTAGATTTCTAAGAGTCACCCTAACTTCAGAAAGTTTCTCTTGCAAAATGCAATTTTATGAATGTGTCAATAAAGTGCACACACCTCTGAGCCAATTAATCAGTCACAAATTAGAAAACTCTAATGAGTTACTCCAAGCCAGTTTAATACAGAATCCTCCATGCAGAATTCCATTTGGGGAGTTACCATTTGCTGTGCCTATTTACCAGGCACCTGATTCAGCACCAGCTGAAGTCTGCAGTTTTGTAAAAAGGAATTGAAAATGATTCTCTAGGACTGAAAACCAAGACAAACGAAGCATGAATTATCTGACCTGAGCTGCTGGGGCTTTTCATGGATGCCAACGACCCAGTAATGATCATATTTCCCTTTGCAATGCTCTCTGGTGTTGCACACTGGAATCCAAGTGTTCCCAAGCCCTCGGTTCAGCATCCTCACGGTTCCCTCGGAATCCACGTAACAAGGGGTACCTGTTTGTTACAAATGAGAGCATTTCCTCTGACAGGCAGCAAATTACAGCCCAGCAAGGTGGGAGTGGTGGGTACAGCTGGGAAATGATGGTTTACATATTTCAGACAGACGTCCTCTCTCCCAAACACGGCAGAAATCAGTTTGGAAAAGGCAGTTTCCTTGGAGAGATGCGCCACCTTCTGTCAGCCAGCACCACTGCTGGTCAACTGACAAGTTCAAAATTAAAACATTTTATGGACAAATCGAATTTATACTGCTTGGGCAGATTCCCAAAGGAAATCAGCTACTATACAATTACTTTTTATGTCTGTCATAAAAGGTCCTCCCAAGCTACTAACTTTAGGGGGTTGGGGTGCTCTTATGGTGTATTAACAGAGTTTATTTATTTTGGCTGAGCAGGAAAAGCAATCAGGAGTACAAGTTTTGATAACATTTGAATGGGAAAATATTAAAGATTTCTGACAAATATACTGAAAGCATAGAAAAACAGAATTTTGTTTATTATTGAGGAGGCTGGAAGAAAAAGTCCAAGTCCCAAGATCTACATTATTGAAAGGGCATTAATTAGCCAAGCTTCTCCATAAAATAGCAGGATGTTTTGGGTTGGAAGAGACGTTAAAAACCATCTTGTTCCACCCCCTGACATGGGCAAGGACACCTTCCACTAATCCAGGCTGCTCCAAGCCCTGTCCAACCTGGCCTGGAACACTTCCAGGGATCCAGGGGCAGCCACAGCTTCTCTGGGCACCTGTGCCAGGGCCTGCCCACCCTCACAGGTAAGTATTCCTTCCTAAAATCCCATCTAACCCTCCTCTGGCAGTTTGGAGCCATTCTTCCTTGTCTTGTCCAAAGTCCCTCTGCAGCTTTCCTGTAATCCCCCCAGCAGTGTCAGTACTTCCCATCACCTCTCATGCAGGTGTTTCATACCTTCTGCAGAGAATCCAACCCACACCAAATAGGATTTTCTTGTCAGAGAAACAGGATCTCCATGCAAAATTTGTCTTTTCTTCATTCCTAGCTCCATCAGCTGTATCCCAAGGCACTGGTCCCCATCAAAGCCAGTACCTAGGAAGAAATTATTCAATGATTGTGTTAGAAAACAGAAGAATTGGCTAAATTAGTTTTGAATCAAAAATTAATTCTAATGCAGTGTTGCCCATGGATATCACTGTCAGACACACAACTATTTGGCTTCAGAGGAAAACTGCAGCCTTGTGCAGGATCCCTGCTCCAGCAGAAGCACAGCTGGCACTGCAGGAGGGCTGAGCCCCCATGGGATGGGACTGTGCCACCACCCTGACCCACAAGGTGACAGGGCATGTTCTGACTCAGTGTATTTTTGCTTTGGTTTTTTTTTGTTTGTACTATTGCATTTGTATTTTTAGTTTTCCTATTAAAGAACATTTATTCCTATTTCTATATCTTCACCTGAAAGCTTTTTGATTTTAAAATTATAGTAATTCAGAGGGAGGGGGTTTGCATTTTCCTTTTCAAGGAAGGCTCGTGCCTTCCTTAGCAGACACCTGTCTTTTCAAACCAAGACACCCATAAATAAAAAGCATGATCAAAACCCAAAAACCTCAGAATCGACAGAAGCCAGTAACAAAAGCCAAAATATTTGAAACAAGTTAAAAGCACCTTCCTATTATGGGTTTTGCAGAGCAAAGCCATGACTTACCTTGCAAGCTCCTCTGTGCTCTCACAGGCCAGCAGGATGGCTTCATTGGAGAGGTCAGCCATGGTGTGGCCCAGGGAGTTGGGGAGGTGAGTGGCGTGGTGCACAGAGGTGTCGTGGAACTCGATGTCTATGGCGTTGTCCTGCTCGTCGTTGTAGCAGCGAATGATTCCGACCGAATTCCACACCTGGCAGAAGGAACCACACACACCCAAAGAAACCCATCAAGTCAAGTGTCCTAAATCCATCAGATATGCTGCCCTAAACCAGCTTGCTGTAATTATTTTATCTGGAACCAGAGTGGGTGGCAGGCTGGAGAAAGATTGGAGACCTGAGTAATTGGGATTTGTGGTTCCTAAAACAGTTGAATTAGGCAGAAAGTAGTTTCACTCTCACTGCTCAGACATTTTTCTCCCTTCCAAATTAAGTGTAAAAGAACTTTATAGTGAATGTTTAACATACAAGTCTTTACAGCACAAAATTATCCACAGTTCTGACATAGAAAGGAATTTTTAAATGCATTTGCTAGAATTGAGTAGCACGGGTACAAACTGCATAGCTTGATTTTGTCTTAAAGCAAAGTACTTATTTCTAAAGCAACTGAAATGTAAACCAAAACATTATGGAGTCCTTGCATGAAAACAAAGCTACCTTCCATTATTTAGCTTCACACTGTAAAGTATTAAAAAATATTGGCCTAGATTAAAACATGACATGAAATGGACAATACTAAATACAAAATTAATGTTTTAAATCTAAATAACCAGCATCTAAATCTAAATAACCACACAGATTTACCATGAATCGATGCATCAGATGCACAGGAGTGGAGCCAGACTGGAAGGGCTTTTGCCTGGGGGTTGGCATTGGCCCATCATAGAAAGGCTGTTGTGTAGATGATGGTGGCAAAGCTGAAAAGCCACCAGTCTGATCATCACCATCATCTTCCTTCTCAAGAAGACCAGAACTAGCTTTAATCAACCCAATATCTAAAAGTAAAAGAAAAAAAAAAAAAAATCTCACACACAGTATTATGACACAATGTAGGTTAAAAAAATTTAAAACAGTCAAGATTTCTCTGGAAAAACAAAGACAGAATATATCTGAGTAGAGGATGCTAAAAGATCATCCCAGTAAAAGAGCTCTGGAAAACCAGTTCATTGTGTACCTAGTGAGTTATCATCATCATCATCAATTACTGCCCGTCTCCCATGGCCTGGGGGTTGCATAAGGTCATCAGCATCATCCTCATTCTCTCCAGTTTTTGGGGAAGAAGCTGGTTCAATCACGTCCCCATTTAAATAATCATCATCATCTCCATCAAACAGATCGTTGTAGTCTTTGGCCACTGCACTGGCAACCTGCAACCAGATTAGCCATCAGCACAGAACTTCCTCTGGACATGCAACTCAAGAAATAAATTAACACACAAGAGGGAACTTGCAAAGCACAAAACAGAGCGTTCCACATAACCTAAATAATGAAATTCATTCAAGAAGTCATTCAAAAAGTCAATTCAATTCATTCAAGAAGTCATTGGTACTGAGCACCTTGTCACTGGGCTTCTCCACATCACCAATATTTTCCAACAGCCCCAGGTTTCCTTCATTGTCTGTGTAAGCAATTTTTTTATGCTTAGGGTGCCATGCCAGTCCACAAATTGAGTATTTTTTCTCATGCTTCATCCTAAAAAGAATATTAAAATAATGGATTTTAGTAAAGTCCTCAGGGCAGAAGCTTCCCCTCCAAGAGTTATTGCAAAAAGTGGTAATTTTTATTAGTACAAGAAAGTCATATTACACATAATAGGATAATTAATAGGCCATCTTCAGAGTAAAGCACCACAGCTGCTACAAAAATAGAGCAAGTCTTCCTTTTCTATGAAGAAAATAATTTAAGGTTTAAAAATCAATCAGAATCATATTCTTAAAACAACTGCTTCCTGATACACATTTAGAAGACAAAGGAACTCCTCAGCATTCATTTATTCCAGAGCCATCCAGTTATAGAAAGAACATACTTTGTTTCTCTTGAATAAACTGATAAATTAACTCTATCTTTCCCACCCTTTATCCTTACAAAAATCATCCCATTAATTATTTACATAACCTGTCAATAATTCTTAACATAGAGATTGCAATTACAATCATGTTTCTTACACAGAATATTCAGGTAATTTTCTTCTTCTCTACCTCATTTAATAATACCTTTGATTTTAATTGGAGGGATATTTAGGGTTTTTTAAGAGCTTTAATTAACCAAATTGCATTTGCCAGTCTGTCCTTTTTGGTTTACAGGTGAGGATGGCCAACTGACTGACCTGTGTTTCCCTCTAGAAAAGATGTTACTAGGGTCTGGGATGAGAGGAAAATTTGTTTCCACCAAAGCTATCCTTTAATCAATCATTAGTTTCAAAAATAATAACAGATATACACAAAAAGAAAGATTCTGGGATTTAAACAAAATCCAAGTCCCTTCCCTAAGGTGCCTGTCAGGTTAAACCAGAAAACCCTGTAAATCTCAGAGTTTTTCAAGAGGCAGAGTTCTACATTTGCACAAAAAAAGTTTTACAGAAAAGACCATAAAATTTTATTTTGAGAAGAAGAGATGAACTTGGGGATTGATTTATGGAACAGCACTGAATACCTCTCTATGCACTGCTGGGTTTCCACATTCCACACCACTAAATTCCCATCCACACTTCCAGCTGCCAGGAACTGCCCACAAGGAGACCAGACCACAACATTCAAAGGCTATGGGAAAAAAATAAAACAAATAATAATAAAACGTGACCAATGCATGCACAGCATTCCTATTCTGGAGCTTAAAACAGACAGATAACCTGGAACAAAAAAATGTAAATATATAATCATCTTTAGCAGACCATATCCAGCCTTCTGTATATGGGCTGGGGTTATGTAGCTCTTTTTCTTTAAAGACTATTATAAAAACAGTTGCTTAAAAAAAACCACTCTTTAAGATAGCACACATATTTTTGTTTCAGAATATGCATCTTCTGTCATTAAACAGTGCCATGAGGCCAAACAAAACCCAATTCTAGACATGCAAAAACAAGCAGAGTGTATTTTGCAAATTCAGCACTAAACATTGCTTTATTTATTTTGAACTTCATACAGTCCCATAAATTAAAATCCAAGGCTGTGTGTTCTGCATTTTAATAACACTAGAAGGTAGTTCTCTTCAACCCAAAAATTCCCAAGTACATAGTGAGGCCAAAAGAAAGAAGGTGGCATAGTCAGGTCTACTAAATTTCAGCTCAGTAAAATAGAAAGTGAACAAGTGACATCTCTGCTCCATACAGAAATAATACTCCTGACATTTTCCCTAAAAAGCTCTGTATTTAGAGAAATTTGTGAAAACAGATGTTCTTCAGCTGCAGTGGGTGAGTCACCAGCAGACTTTAGAGAGCTGGTGGGTTACTATAAATGAAGGAGGGGAATCAGAGCCACATGGAGGTGTTTGACACCACTCAGCATCTCTGCCCTGTTTTCCAACAGAAAGCAAAAGGATGGGAAATTAAACAGAAAATGTGAGCAATCATTACCAAGAGAAGGGGGCCAGGGAGAGGTACTGAGCAGAAGTCAATTTCTAGCAAAATAACATTTAAATTACAGAGTATTTAACAAGCCCCTGGTTTCTGCACCTACCTGTGTGATGGAGGCATCTGACAGATCAAATTGACTATCCCAGCTCTCTCTTCTGAACAGTTCAACAACTTTATCTACAGGAACTGCCAGCAGCTGCTCAAAGGAAAAATATTACACCATTTAGAACAAGTTACCTGTCAAACAGAACACTCAAGCAGCACATTTTCTTCATTCAGAAGCCTCATAGATGTGACTGCCTCAGGATTTAACAGCTCTCTAACATCCCAACCATGCCAACTGAGAGAGCAAGCTGAAGTAATTTAAATTACAAGGTTCTTTAATGCTTTCCACAGGCAACAGAGCAAAACATGCCTGTTTTTACTGTAATCTTCATTTCCTTCTGGCAGAGAACTGCACCATAAGGTTATAAGTTCTAATTTATCAAAACATGACACACACATACACATAGTTTTCAATGCCCTGAGCACAAGGCTTAGGTGATTCTTTACCCTCCCTCCCCAGACTCCTTTTGATCAGGTTACAATTTCTCAATAAATCTGATTTTAATAGCTGATTCCTAAACCAGCTCATTTCATTTTCTATATAAATGTTACTGGCTGGTTATTTCTTTAGGATTTATCTTTGTTAGGATTCTAACAATTTGCTTTGTAAGAGAAGCAGGACAACTTCTTACATTTTGAATACATGTGTGTGTGAAGAATTAGCCGAAAAATGGAAAGTATTTGGTTTTATGCAATATGGATATTGAAACAATTTGTACTGAGGGTGACATTCACTCTTCCACAGAAAATTGAAACATAACACTGTCATAGCAGCCAGGGATTTTGAAGAATCATGGAATCACTTAGGTTGGAAAAATCCCTCTAAGGTCATCAAGTCCAACCATTAACCTGACAGTGTCATCTTCACCACTAACCCACGTCCCCAGGTGCCACATCCACACAGCTTTTCAACCCCTCCAGGGATGGGGACTCCACCACTGCCCTGGGCAGCAGGGCCAGGTCTGACAACCCTTTTGGTGAGGAAATTTTCCCTAATATCCAACCTAAACTTCCCCCTGATGCAAACTGAGGCCATTTCCTCTCGTCCTGATGTTTGTGACCTGGGAGAAGACACCAACCCCACATGGCTGCAACTTTGATCTTCAGGTGAAAAGAAAGGGAGCAACTTACTGAGGAAATATTTACTGACTAGAGCAAAATTTACTCAAAGCAGAGAAGGACAGGACTCCTTTGATGCTCTGTTATGAACAATTTGATTACTTCCCTCGTGTACAATGTTCCTTCCTATTCAAGCACACCAAGACTGTTTAATGCTGGTTCAGGCTGACAGCTGGACTCCTGCCAAACTCAGTCTGGAGCTTAAACAAGGAGCCATTTCCAGCTTTTTATGTTTCCTAAAAGGGAACTTCACCCCAAATATTTTCCTTAATACCCAGGAGGTGCAATTTAGGCTTGCCCAGATTGAATTCTACCATTGGACTCAGAGGCAAAAGAAGGATTAAGATGTGATAAAAGAATGTCACTTACCTTGCCAGTGCCAGGTTGCCAGGCAAGCCTGCAGATTGATTTAGCATTTATCACATCATTACATTTCTGTAGCAGCAGCCAGCTTTTCGTGCATGTCTGAAAACAAAATTTAAAAAAATAAGCTTTTTAGCTCAGCAAAAATCTGCTGTTTAGGACAAATTCTTAAAGGAAACGGGTGGGGAAAAAAAGCAAAAGGAAGAAATATATCTGAACTGAAATAATTGCTTTCATGAAAATACAGTAGTACATACTGCCTTAAAAATAATTTGTCAATGTAGCCCTGAAACTATTTTAATGACAATAAAACTACTTGTAACAGAAATAAGATCACAGAACATGTATTTTTAACAAAGTACAGAACAAATGAGCCCATCTATTCTTAGGTTATAGAGAAATGTGGCCAAAAAGCATTTGTCAAACCCAGATCAACTGGAGCAAGGTGACACACCACAGCCTGAATATGGTCCCAGCTGTATAAAGAATGAATGGCTGTAATCTCAAATCACAGCACAGATTCATGCATCAAACTGCCCCAAGCCTGGAACATTCTCAACATAATTTCCCCAGAAGGCAGCCACTGTCAGTCTGGAACATGAGATTTCACACAACTATGCTTGTGTCTTAAAAAAAGTAGCAAGCCACAAGTGTGGGGGGGGATATTTTCAACTGCACTTACAGGAATAATTCCACAGGGATTCTTATTCCAGTCAGTGGCATTTAGCAAAACTAATGCCATATCCATATGCAGAACTGCCTTGTTAAAGCCTTCACCTGAAACTCTCAGGTTCCTTAGAGCTCTAAGAGCAGAGGCTAAATGTGTTTACTACAGTTAATAAATTGTTTATTATAATCAAAATTCCTCAGTCCTGAAATTCTGAAACGAGGAATCTGATGTCAGTTGCTATCCTCATTTTGTCCTTGGCACTCACAGTGTTGGCCAATTAGGAGAGATGAAGGGAAGGAATCAGGATTTCACAGGCAGGAAGAACAAAACACAGCTACCCAGGCAACATTTCATAATCAGGTTTTGGAATTTCTCCCAGAAGCAGACAGAAGTATTCTGTGAAGTATAGCTAGATTTCATCCCCAAAAGGAAAATCCTACTCCAGGAAGATTATTTCAGTCCAGCTCTTCTTGCTGTCTGTGAAATCCTGGATTGCTTAGGAAAGATTTCAGGTGGAAAGGGCAGCCTTTACCTGATCTGCAATGTTCCAGACTCTGACAGAACCATCACAGCTCGCCGAGGCCTCGGTGAGAGAATGGAGTAAACAAATTAATAATTAAAGACATGAAGAAATTAATGCTACAAAATTGAAAAATCCCTATAACCAATGCCACACACACAGGATACACAGGCAGTTTTAAGAAGAAAGCCTCCCTGTTTAAACCACTTTAAGATTTAAAACTTTCCAATGCTGTCATCTTGATAATTGTACTCAGCTCCAAGCTGCTGTAATTACAAACCCTCATACTTCAAGTGAGCTATTTATTTGCAAAAGAGGCTCAAAATTAATATTACATATATTTAGTGAGGCACCTTTTCTCCTCTAAATTAGATTCCAGAAGAACACAGACAGTAACTGATTAGTAAAGCAAAGAGTGAGTTCTCCTGGGATGCAACAAGTTGTGACACTTCATCACCAGCAAGGTCAGATGAAATGAAATTGTCTCATCTGCCCAGTCACTGGTTGGTTTTTTTGGTTAAAAAAAAAAAAAATCCCCAAGGAAAATGAGATTCAAAGCAGAAAGAAAATAAGAAAAGTTGGTTTTTTACCAGGTAAACATCCTTGGGGTCAAAAGAAAGGCTTAAAACAGGAGCATCATGTCCTCGGAATGTTTTCTGCTTGCTGCTATCAGTCACCTCCACAACTTTGATCATAAAGTCACTGCAGATGACAATGACATAAAATTGTTAACATTGCTATTAACAATGACAAACTATGTTTTTATGGCAATAGAAATTGGGCATTAAATATCTTTTGGGGAAGTTACAGCTCTCAACACTATATGATGTAATGGAAAATGAGAATCTTCAGGCTTGTTACAATAGAAGTCAGGCCAGACTGGTTTTAGCAGAAAATTATTTTTGTTCATGTCAAAATTTATAAAATATGGTTGTTTTTGAAGAAGATATTATGTACACACAGACCATATATCTCTTCAAAATAATATTCTACATGACCTAATAAAAATCTCTGCTCAGATACCAGAGAGCTGATGACTTAACAAGAACTATCTACATAGTGGGACCAATATTCATTAATATAATTATTTGGCCAAGTGGCTTTTTAAAAAAAGATGGTGCAAGTAGTTTTATTTTGTGTAACTTTTTAACAGAATTTTAAAGACTATTTAGTGCATCAGATACAATGAGAGAATTTTAACAACTTCATTTCTTCTTCCAGAATTGCAGCCAATGCTGCAGAATAACTCAAAATATCAGTCCTAACTCCTAAGACAAAAAGCTCCTGTGATAAACTTCCAGTACCACTCCCTTTGAAACCTCATTGCAATACCCTCAGAAATTTCATTTTAGCATCTAATTTTATAGAGTTAACCATTACTTTTAACCTTTTTCATATAGTTCATGCTAACTTTGCAGCCAGTTAGATGTTAAATTCATATGCAACAGAAGTTTGAAGATTTCATATGAAAATGGAAAAATCTAGGACAAATAAAAGCAATTCTTCTCAGCTGCACTCCTTCACTTCATGGCTTTCACCATTCTCCTTTAGTATGACAAAGACCTCACTGAGGGGTGGCCTGACAGTCTTGTGAGCTCTTTTTCCTAAAAATGTGGGAGCCCCAGCCAGGCTGCAGGAGTTCTGGGGAGTTATAAAAGTTTTAGAAACAGCAAAGAGTTTGCTGCCTGCCTAATCTCTCTAATCAAAGCTGGATCCTGGGGCAGAGCTGTTCTCTGAGAAACAAGCACTGGCAGAGAGCCCAAAGCCATGATCCCTGTCAGATTTGGAGATTACAGTGGTTACTGCCCAGCCTCCCAGTTTTGGTGGAGCTGCTGCCAGAGTTCACAGTCCAACACGTTCATCCAAAATGCTTTTCTGGTTCAATTCACACTTAGAGGAGTCAGGAAGCAGATCTCTGCCATCTCCCCTGTGGAGCAAAATTCCAGAAGAGAGGCAGACAACTTGCATTAGCTATGACTGCCCAAAGAGTTCACCAAATCCAATTAAGAATCACCTGAGCCTTAAATACACAAAAAAAATCCTCAAAAAACCCATTGTCTGTTGGCTATTTTGCCTTCTCTGTTAAAGGACTAGAGTATATTCTGCAAAAGCACATGTGCTGCCCTAGGAAAAAAAACTAAACTACATATTAAATTCCCCTCAGGCAAGTCTTGAAAGCGTAATCTGTTATCATTTGGCAGATCAGTGATGCTTATGCCAGGGAATGACTCAAAACTCTCACACAAATCAGAATCAATCTAACTTTTAGATGTGCACATTCATCTGCAGCTCCATGATCCTGAGCAGTTGGGACATCATCCTCAGCTCCCAGTGACAAAACCCTTGCTGAGAGGAGGCATCCAGAAGGGTGAACACTTGTGCTTCAACTGAGAGCTGAAAACACTCAAGAGAGTGTTTTCAGAAAGAAATTGTTTCACAACACCAGACTTCTACATAAAACTACTTGGTGGATCAAGTATCTCCCAGAGCATTGTTTCCTAAACTCCTCTTCATTCCTTTCTTCCCCTCCACCCCCTTGAAGGCATTTTCCAGCCCTCAGAGGTTTGTGGGTTCATGACCTCGCTGGTAACAATCAGCCAGTGAGGGAGTTTCCAGATTCTGAAGGGCAGCAGGGTTTTTCCTCACTCATTACCTGGATCCAGCAGCAACTTTGGTGCCATCAGGACTAAAGGTGACGTGGTTGACAGGCATGGTGAAACGAGTGAGGATCCCATCTGGAGCTCCCTCAGGAAATGTGTGGATCTGGACAGTGTTGTTGGAGACTGCTGCGATCAACCTTCCATTCTGACAACAAAATCAGCCACAAAACTTGTCAGTTAAAACACATTTACGCCACAGAGACAAAAATCCCGCTCTGATGCCCCAAATATTTTGGCAGATTAACTTTATTCATTCCAAAAAGGTCTGATAGTAAAAGCAGCACAGGAAATACTCTTTAATGTATATTTTTCCACCCAAAATACAGACAAGCAAAGTAACTTTAATAATATATCACTTTAACCAAAGTAACTTGCATGCTATTTAGATCTGCTGCAGCATCAGGAGAGGGCACCCTTGGACTGGAATTCTCAGTCAAATTCCATCAGGGAAAGATGACAAGTTCATGAACTATAGCTCAGTTCTTTGCAGAAAACAGAAGGCAGATGTTTACTGAAAATTAACCCAGATTTTAAAAAGTGCAAAATAAAATAAATAATCCTATTCTTGGAAAATGACACCTCTTTGAGTGACAATACTATTCCTCAGTTGTACACAGTAGTAAAAACTTAAAATAAATATAAAGAAATGCCTTATTTTCTTTTTTATTGTGTGTATTTTTTTGGGGGGGAGGCAGTACTGCAGTTGGGGTTTTTTGTTAAGGTGTATAAAATGACAGTAAAATTCCTGAAGGTAAAGGAAGCAGCAGTCAGTAGTGAATAACCTAAAAAAATAAGATACTAGATTTATTAACTAGATTACATCAACATCAGAACAGTCCCTCATGGCATTTCATTAATGAAAGGTAATTTTTGAAAAATGGTTTTCTGACATTTAAGTCTCCCACTGCTTAAAAATAAAACATCCCTCAAAACTAGGAGCACCTTTTTCAATTTTCCCAGGATTTTTCCTCATCTATTCTTTAACAGCTTTAGCAATTTCTGGCTCAGCCACTGATTTGCTAAGAGAATCCATTCAAGAAACGTGGTTGGTTTGTGAAACAATAATTAATGTGAGGGAAATCTACAGCAAAATACCCTAAAAATCAATGATGAAAATAGACTTTAATGGTACTGAGGAATAGCTATATGAGGTATGTTAAAAAGGACATAAGAAAGAGGATTCAATTAAGGCACTAATTCTGAATATTATTTCAAATTATAATTCTTACAATGCAATACAAATATGTTAATACTCATTTATTTCCTCTTTCATACTCCTCTACAAAATCACAAGTAGTTGAAAAACAATTTAAAAATTTCTCCTTATCACTGCCAGGTAAAATACACAATATTTGTAGAACTGATGTAGCTTCTGGAAGTCTTCTCTTCTAAAATTGCCACAAAGACAATATTTTAGACCCAATATGATTAATGTAATATAAAAAAAATTAGACATTAAGGAAATAATGTGACAATTCTCAAGCTAAATACATGAACATGCATAGTAAAAATAATTATTTTCTATTACATAAATCCTCTTCTCACTTCAGGGACACTGGGTCAGAGGTATCTTTAGGCCAAACAACAATTTTGAGAGTGAAATGTCAACCAATTATTAAAAAAAAAAAAAGTGTTACCAAACCATTACTCACTTTGTGAAAGCAAGTTTTGATTAATACAGATTATAACTCTGTGGACTTTAACACTGGCCCACATAAAACAACCTCCTGGCTTTCTTCCTAATACTTGATCACGTCCTATGCTGGGAAAATTCTTGCAACTCACATGGTGAGAAAACACTGAAACAGCCTAAAAAGTTCACTGCATAATTAGCTTAATCTGCTGGGTTTGTTTCTCAGAATGGAGATCAAAGTCAGAAATTAATATAACTGAACGTGAAGGAAGGGAAGGGAAAAAAGCATTACACAAGTTTAGTGTAAGTCATAATTCCTCTACAGCTGTGTATGGGGTAGAATGAATTGTCAGAGGTAATTCCTGTTTATTGTTACCCACAGAGGCAGCATCCCTGAGCTGGCAGATCCACAATCTGCAGGAAGATCCACAACTGTGAGGAGCTGTGTTAACAACCCTACCTTTAGAGCACACGAATAGGCCTTTTCTCCCACATTAATGGACTTTGGATCATCATCATCCAGGTTTTCCCAAATCCTAACATCTCCATCACTGCCACAAGTCACAATGCAGCTGTGGAAAGAGACAGGATTTGTTAACATCCAGGAATCTGCATCCTTTTTGAAGCATCTGGTCGGAATGCCAAACGAGGCTTTTTGTTGGTTTCAAGGGATTGTTACCAGTCCTATGAACTGTCTTTGCAATGATAATGAACTTAAGAAAGGAATAAAATAATATGGACTTTAACCATAACCAGTATATAAGGTGGATCCTCTGAGTTTGTTTTGAGAGGGCTTGGGGGTTTTTTAGTTTACTTTTTAGTCTATAAAAAGGTAATACTAAATATATAGTTTGTATTTATACATTCAAGAACTAGCACAAGGAAGAGATGAAAATATAGCAATCCCAATATTGCATTCCTTCAACTATATTTTTAATTTCTTAGTGCATACATAAACGTATTTACTCCCACACTACACTGATCTCTGCTAAAATTTATGAAGTCACTCTCATAAAATGTGCATATAGAGTTTATATTTTTATATATATAATACTATATATATATATACATGGGGATATATATATGCTTACATTTAAGTTATAAATCAATCACTTCTAAACTCAGAGCACCGAAATATGTCACACAGCCAGTCCTCAGCACAGGCAAAACCCAAAGGATTTCTTGGACCATGCCAGGCCATAAATCCATCCCAGCACCTCACCCAGCAGTGGCTGACAGAGAAACTTACAGAATCATTCAGATTGAAAAAGCCCTCCAAGATCATCGAGCCCAACCACTCCCCCAGCACTGCTGAGGCCACCACCAATCTGTGTCCCCAAGTGCCACATCCACACAGCTTTTAAATCCCCCCAGGGATGGGGACTCCACCACTGGCCCGGGCAGCTGTGCCAGTGGCTGACCACTCTTTTAGAGAGGAGGTTTTCCCTAATACCAAACTGCTGGGAAAGCATCAGACAGGAACAAGCCCACCCCTCTCCTGGCTCTGGGAACGGGGCTGTTACCTGCCAGTGTCATTGAAGCAGACATCGGTGTGTCCCTCGGTGTGGCCGTACCGCATTGGCTTCTGCTTTGATGGCATCTTTGCTCCCACCTGTCTGCTCATGGAGAGGAAAAAAGAGGAGAAATAACATCAATTAAAAGGAAACACATCGGGAAGAGCATCAGATGGGGAGACAAGATGAGAGCTGCTGGGACACCCACCCATTCAATCACCTGAGGGGATGGGGACATGGGCTGGGGACACAGATGGGAAATGAGGACACTGGGGGGATGAGGACATGGGAATGGGGACATTGCTGGGAGGGGAGCACAGGACACTGCAGGAATGGCAACATCACAGTGATGGGGGTATGGGATGGGAGATGAGAACACACTGATGAGCTCACAGGGACAGCAGATGGGGACACTATAGGGATGGTGACATCGCGGTGACGGGGACACGGGGATAGGAGAAGCCAGAGGAATGGGGGAATCGGGAAAAAGACACGGGGATAGGAGATGGGGACATTGGACATTGCGGGGATGAGGGACACGCTGAAGAGGTCACGGGGTAGGAGATGGGGACACTGTAGGGAGGGTGACATTTCAGGGATGGAGATATCGCGGGGATGGGAGACGGGGACACGGGGATAGGGAGCGTGAGGACGGGGACACCGCGGGGATGGGAACAGAGGGATATGGGGCGTGAGGATGGGAACACCGAGGGGCTGGGGATACGGGAATAGGGGGCGTGAGGATGGGGACACCGCCGAGATGGGGACACAAGGATAGGGAGCGTGAGGATGGGAACACCGAGGGGATGGGAACAGAGGGATATGGAGCGTGAGGATGGGGACACCGCCGAGATGGGGACACAAGGATAGGGAGCGTGAGGATGGGAACACCGAGGGGATGGGAACAGAGGGATATGGAGCGTGAGGATGGGGACACCGCCGAGATGGGGACACAAGGATAGGGAGCGTGAGGATGGGAACACCGCGGGGATGCGGGCCCGGGTTACCGAGGCCCGGAGGGGCCTGGCATGCCGGGGCCTCTCCCTCGGCCGTCCCAGGGCAGGCCACACAAGCCTCCCACCGGCCCCGGCAGGGACCCCCGTTCCCCGCGGCTGCCCCCGCTCCGGAAAGATCCCGCACCGCCCGCGGGGTCCCGGTGGGGCCGCACCCGCCATCTCTCCCTCTCCCTCCCGCCGCTCACCGCGGGCCCCGCCGCCCGTTCTGCTAGCGCCGAGCCCGCCGAGCCGCCGGCAGCCGGCCGGGGACAGAGCCGGCGGAGAGCGCCGGCCCCGCGGGCAGCGCCCGCCGCACCACCGTGAGTCGGCGTCGGGAAGCGGCTGAGGGGCGGCAGGCGGGGGTGAGCAGCCGTGCTGGGGAAATCGGGGACTCCTCTCACCGGCGGGGCTCGGGGGCTGCGCCCCTGTCGGTCACCGGGCGGCTCGGACCGGCTCTCCGGTCACCGGAGGGGGTTGGCCGGGGGTCCGCCCGCTGTCACCGCGGTGCTCGGACCGGGGTCAGCGCTGTCCCCCGGGGGACTCGGTCCAGGCTCTGCTGTCACCGGGGTTACTCAACCCGGGGGTTGCGCCTTGTCACCGCGGAGACTCGGGCCAGGCTCTGCCGTCCCCGGGGGGCTCGGCCCGGGGTCTGAGCCGCTGTCAGTGCCCGGGGGCTCGGGGTCTCCTGGCACCCAGGGCGTTCATCCCGGGATCTCCTGGCGCCGCGGGGGGATCCGGTCCAGGGTCTTCGCTGTGTCCCCGGGGGGTTCGGTCTGTGTGCTTCTCCTCTGAAAAACCCCGTGCCCGACGTATGTACCCGAACACAAATAGGGCACATATTTCCCAGCTTATCCTTCTGTGTGTGGATTTAATGGCAGCTCCTCCAGAGGCACAGGGGCGGCGGGGAGAGCCCAAATGAGGGGCTGTGCCCCTCGCCCCCCTTGGGCAGCACCCCCATAACAGCTCAGCCAGCCGCAGGACCTGTCCCTTTGGAGATCCTTGTGGTCATTGTGGAATTACTCTGGAATTCCAGCCATCCTGATGCGTGTGCGAGGTGGAGTTGACAGCAGTGGTAGTCAGGCAGGTAGCGATTGCACGGCAAAAATCATTAAGCTTTTTTTTTTCGCTGAAAAATAGGAAGAAAGCCTCCTGGCTGATCTCTTGAAGGATTAAAAAAAAATGCTAGAATTGAACATACCTGAAATAAAGAGGGAAAACCAGCATTATCTGTTTTCCCTTTATGTAGCCTTAATGATCTGGCCCAGTTTATTCCTGTTTCTAAGAAAAAATTGCTTCCAGGCAAAGCTCTTTTATCTTCAGTTTTGCTCTGCAGCGGGGTTATTGGTTGTTGGGGTGAGCAGAGTGATTTATTTATATTGGAATTGTGTTTCTCTCTAACACTCACATTGCTGCTAGTTTCATGAATGAATAAGTGACAGGATTACAAAGCAGGCACACTTCTTTAAAAAAAAATCACAGAAATATGGCCAGATTTCATTATTAATCCTCGTGGAAGCTGTGTAGAGACATGTTTTCCATGGGTGTATCCTACATATTTCAGTAAATCATGATTTCTGGCGAGGATAATGTGTTCTAGGGAAATGATTCGGAGCTGAACTGCTTATCAGATGAGTGGGAAGACCAAGCTATTCCTGCTGCAAGCCGCTGCCTGGGATGGAGACAAATGCCTGTCAAATGCGTTTATTTTTCTTAATCACTTTAATTTTCGGAGTCTCTGATGGAAACTGCACCTAAAGTGTTTTGCAGTGTAAAAGCCATTTCACATTCGCTTCTATGTAAGAACGAATTTCCTTGTCTGGAGGTGCTGCCTGTTGGGATAACTCTTTGAACAGCGCAGGAAAACTGGGGGGAGGTTTTTCAGGGGAGGTTTTTCAGGGGAGGTTTTTCAGGGGTGGTCACTTGTCCAAGGGACTGCCGGCGCTGTGGCTTTGTCCGAAGTGACAGGGCACCAAATGCAAAGTTAGACTTTAAATCCGGTTGGGAACTCGGGCTGTTGCTGCCTTGATTATTAGGTGTGAGTGGCTGCGAGCCGGGAATCGCTGCTGCCCTCGGTTTCTGGGTGGAGCACGGAGTGTTGGTCATGGACCATAAAGCTTTCACTGATTTAGTGCTGGAGAGGCTGCTGCGGTCTGCCGAGCATCTCTCCTGCCACACATGAGCAGAGCTTCATTAAGGCAGGAGATGCGAGCAGCCCTCACCTCTGGCACCTGCTGCCAGCTCAGTTCCACCTCCTGGGAGTGAATAAAATATCCCCCGTGTTGGGGTTAGCTGGGCATGGTACCCCCTCCTCCTACAGTTCTGGGGATAAATCAGAGGTATTTCCAAGGAAAAAAAATATTTAGGTTGCAAATGGTACCTTTAGAAAGTCTTTTGTGTGTATGTGTGATAATTGCTTTAATTTGCTGTAAAGGCCTCTGGAGTTAAGCTTAGGTATTTTTAGATGGTATCATAAATCAAAGTAGAGCCAAAACTGAGGAAAAATAATTTAAGACAGAGGAATTGAGATTTATTGTTATCCTGAGTAGGTTGGGAAGGTCAGGTTTTAAAATGTGTTCTTGTGGCCAAAATCTAATTGGGTGAAATTAATGAAAGCAGCTTGTGACCAATGAGATTTTGTTTTAAAATAACTTTAATGTAAGTTATGAAAGAAAAAGTACTCCAGTGTATTGCTTGCTCTTCTCTCTCAAGATTTTATCAGCTCTACAAAATCAACTTCCATAACAATTCCAAAATTGATTCATTGTTCTTTGCGAGCCTTCTTTTGTTGTTTAATTAGAGGAACAATACGGCAACGCTTCATGTGCTTGGACAGAAAACTTTCCAAGTACTTCCTGCACTCGGAGGCTTGTGCAGCATGGGAGCACCAGAGACGTGGTGGGACCTTCATCCTGGGAGCTTTTCAGGACATGGCCAGGCCATGCCATGGCTCCCCTGAGCCCACGCTGGCAGCAATCCCACTCCAAGTGGGAGGTTGGGCTGGAGACCCCCCACCATCTGCTCCTTCTTTATACAGAAAGGAAAGCAGCTTGATGAAGAGGACTCTTGGGCTAGAGACAAGGATCCAGCAGCTCAGGACAGAAGTATCTGGTTAAAGCAGTTCAGTGTTCAAGTATTTATTGAATAAATGAAAAAAAAAAGGCTGTCTGCATGTATGGTATTGGCGTTATTGATTGGACATATGGTGAGGCTGTCGCTGTCTTATCACAGCTCTGGGTTGCAGCCATCCCTGGCTAGGAGGGAATATTGTTATCCCTCCAAACAGCAACTGGATATTGTTTTTAGTGTGGGCTTGAAGTCTCAGGGTAGAGGCATCAGCTCCTGAAAGAAAAAGCACTTTGTCTGTAGACAAGAGAGAGGAACCTCTGCAGGAGGGAGCACAAAACCCACAGCAAAAGCCACGCAGCTCTCTGGCTGTCCTCAGGGACTGTAGCTGTGGCAGTGCTGGGTAACCTTGGACTACCAACTGGCTCCTCTGGCCTGAAGTGAACTCTGCTCATCCCCCCATGTGTCTTTATCTTTGCTGTTTCCTTAGGGGAAAGGGTTTCCAGCATAAGGGTTTTGTCAAATCTGCCATCATCAGAGGTGCCTGAGGTGTCCCCGTGCAGGACGAAGCTTTTGCAGGCAGGGCACTCATTATTTCTCCCAAAAAGAGCCCAGACCTGATGTGTGTGAGCTGCACAGTGCTGGACTCCCCCATTTAACCTTCCCCTCTAGGGAAAAGCACACTCTGTGTTCCCTCTCTTTTATCCTTGCCCTCCTGTCCTGCTCTTCCAGCAGCGCTCCGGCCGTTAATGGCATTTCCCTTGGATGCTGCAGTGAAAGGAAAAGCTGCTTTAGATGGATGGCCCCAAGTGGTAATAGAGCACTGAATGCCTTCCCTGCCCTTTATGCCTTTTTCTTCCTGACACTTTAATTATTTTTGCTCCCCATTTTATTGGTGGGGCTGTGAATCACTGATCCAGAAGGGTGTGAAGGTGCGATCCCTCGCTGTAATGCCAAACACTGGGATTTGGGATTTGGGATTTGGGAGGCAGCTCTCCCACAGCACAGAGTTTATAACACATGGTGAGGTTCAAACCTGGCTTTAGTAGGATGACATCCCTTTTTTCTCCATTTGTTCCCTGCTCTTTTCACAGCTCTAGTTTTCTGTCTGATTAGCAATTCCTGCTCTGACGTGGCAGAATCAAACCCCAGGGAAGCAGCTCTGGCTAATGGTGCGTGGCTTTGCAGCATCACGTGCTGCTTCCCCAGCTTTTCTTTCAGGGTTCAGGTACCACTAATGATTCATGACAGCAGAAAGGTACAAAGGGGAAGGTGGCTATACAGCTCAATACAACAGCAGCCCAGAAATTCCATAAAACCCGAGCTTCTTTCAATTGGAAGGCTAAAATTAGGAGATAACAGGCACTTCTGGGCTTTGTATGTTTTGTAGTTTTTAATTAAAAGCCCAAAATCTGCATGTTCTTATTCCTTATATGGGCTGGATGAGCAGAATGAGATAATTGAAGGTTTCAAAAGCAATTACAAACTGTCATATCCTAATTTTTAAGTACTTGACTTTGCAACCTCAGTGATATCTCTCTGTCCAATTAAAAATCCCATATATAGACAATTAATGTATTTTACTACAGGATGAATCTAAAAACTTTTTGACTTCAGTGACTTCAGGCTATCACCAGGGTAAATGAGATTGCTTTTTTTTTCCTCTTTTTTTTTTGAATTGTGGAGAAAATTCAGTTCTTCATTCTAGGTATTTCTGGTTGAAAAATATCAAGGATCCAAAAGCAATCAATGAATCAATCCTCATCTAAATAAAGACTTTTTGAGTCTCATATGCACACGTTTCTTTTCTCCTTTCTTCATTGTGTCTTGCCATGCTTTCACTGAAAAGCAATTTGCAAAACCCTGAGAGAAGAAAAAATAAATCTTTAGTTTAATCTTTGATTTGTAACTGCTGAAATATGGACCCTTTCCTGTGATTCCTCTTGGCACCAGTGAGCTGATATTCATCTGCATTGCTCTGATGCAATTTTTCTTCCCAGCATATTCCCAATATTGAACCTATCTTACCTTCCTTCTACATTTCTTCCATCTCCTCCCTTCCCCTGCCTTTTCCTTTCCCCCACAGCTCTCAGGTCTGTGGGTTTTAAATAAGGAATGCAATGTGAAAAATTCCTGGGTGAAAGTTCCATCTGGGATG